AATGCAAAACAAATTGAATGTACATATTTATTTGTACATTAATATTCAATTAACAGTCAACAAGAAGATGATTTCCTTACAGTCAATAACACACAGCTCATTATTTGGGCTTCATTAGTAGGCCATTTTGAGATATAATTTACTCCACATATGTGTTTTAAACACAGTTTAAAACTAAAATAATTTGGTAACACTGCAGTGTTACCCTGTGACCCACCATACACTAGGCAATTAAAGATTTTATAGGGTTAAATCACTACTTCTGATAAAGGCATCACCACTCAATCGTGATTATTGTCACAAAAATCTTTAATAAACTCTTATAGTAAAGATGAGGTATTTAAAAAATACTCATTTCATATTTTCTTGTTTACATTAGTTGTGAAACCTCAAACCAACAATGCCTATCTGGCTATATAAGGATTTATATAATATTATATTAGTTAGTTTTTAGGTGCAGTTTTTCTAATTCAAAATAGCTACATTTATTGTTTTTGCAGCAAAATTTAACAAAATGCATTTGTTTGTAGATATTCAATCGTAAATATACAAAAATATGAAAAATAAAAATTAATACAGCTGATTCTATGTCATACGAAACAAATTTATAACTTGGTCTGCAATGTGCACGACTATAAGAAAAAATATGAAAGTCATAACCATCCTAACCCTAGTTATGGTTAACATATATTATTTTATAGAATATAGATTTTCCATATAATTCTCAATAGGAAAAATCCTACCATTTCCAATGGTCAATCACCAGTTATAATATCCTAATTATCCTTAACTGAAGTAATGTACATAACAACCTGTAATTTACAATATACATTTCGAAAGTATAACTAACGTTTAAATTCAATGTTATAAATAGTAATAAGGAACCAAAAAAATTAAAGATTATCTATAACAAAAATTGTTGAGATAGACAGAAGAACAATGAACAAAATGTGGGTAATTTTCGAGCTAGGAAAATGATTTAAAAATACATTTTTAGAGTCTATCAACTTGATTATCACATCATTTATTAAAACAATTTTGTTTTTTGACTATTCATGAAACACAAAATATTATTATAAATTAAAAAAATTCAATGATGAGATAATTGGCCGTTCCAAAATATTATCAGAACAGTACACTCAAAATTGATACGCTTCTGGCCAAACCAAGATGTATAACAACTCTAATATTAATATTATTTATATATAAACTTACTATAAGTTGTAATTATCATCAAATCTCGATGTAACTATTTTAAATAGCAGCAACTTATTTGTACTTAAACAATAATTTACAAATAAGCTAATATTGAAAAAGTGGCTTTACCCGGCCTACTTGTTAATGTATTATTTAATCTAATTTATTATCTATACCTGTGCCTTAGTAGTTTTTATCACTGGTACTTTATCTGTTTCAATGGCTGTTGTCACTAGCAATCTCAAATCGTTCAGTTTGGAGCCTTGACATATTTCCATAGCTAATAACTCTATTAGTTGTAGTAAGTTTCATTATTCTACTTAACCGTATTGGTGATTCATTGTTATTTACAGCAGCATTTTCAATATTTTCCTCTCTGTAAAATTCAGATTCTATTTAATCACTTTCATCATGATAAGCAAATTTCTAGATTTTTAAATTACCTAACAAAATCTAGTATACAATAATAATAATAATAATAGTACAATCTCTATTAACTCACCTTAAAATATTCTGTTCCATTTATATAAATTCATTGTTGCCAGTTTCAACATCATTACTTTGAGTGATATTATTATGTAAAAATAAAAAAATACTATTGAAAATTAAAAATCAAACTATAGAAATCAAGAAGCATTACTTAGAAGGAAAAAGATTTGAAGCACAATTATTATCATAAGGCTGAGGAATAGTATTTAAAGATAAAAATTGCTTTTTTCATGACCTAGTCTTCATCTATAAAATGATCACTACAAATACCTTGCCAATCGTAAAAATTATCCATTCCACGAACATTCAGCCATTTTCTTCTTATTGATTCATTCTTAGGAAATCTATATTAAAGAAAATATCAATAAATACAATAATTGCGATGTTTAAAGAAAAATGAACACACAAGTAGAAATTTGCTGGGTATAACACGTTGAAAATTATTCCACACCAGGATAATGAATCATGACAATAATATGGTGCAAAACTCAAGGTGCCTTTTTTTCTCACTTAAGCAAGCAAATTTCAAGAAGTAATAGATACTCACCCATGATAGAGAACTGCAGGACAAGTATGCTTGGTCTTTGAAATAGAATTACTACACACTATGCACTTATGCATTTTTAAAACGCAGTATTATATTATATTATTATCAAAATAATTAATACAAAAATGCAAGATATTCAAATCAGCCTTATCAATAGACAGTAATTTGTATTCTATGCAGTTGGAACCTAGAAGAGAGATCAAATGACATGGTCAGTCTTGATCATTCGATTGCGGAATGTACACGACACCAATATTCCAGTTTCTGATATGTTCTGAGGTGCACGTTTTCTTGCAGAGGGTGTAGTAGTTAATCCATTTATCTATAGAATAGTTAGGTGGTTGGTCGTCCTTTTTAAAGGTATAGTACCTATACTTAAAATGTATGTGCATATGTTTTCCTGCAATCTCACCAAGCGACAAGTACTGTATAAAGTACATGAACGGAACTAAGAAAAATATAACTTTTTATATTCATTTGAAAACACATTCACAAACTTGATGAGATATATTTGTATCATTAAAAATAAAATTTTGAACTCGCAAAAAAGTACGTTTTTATTATTTAACCAAACACCTTAGAAAAAAAACATATCACTAATCAGTAATCACGGTGTTTGGTTATAAAGTAACGATAAATTGGAGGGACGAGTACTTTTGTTCCTTCCATCGGTATTCGGTACATAGTTACAAATTACCAAATGGTCCCCAACTGTTGTAATCGTATTCGTTCTACCTCCATTACGTATTTGTAGCACAAATATCTATCATGACGTTTTATGAAAATAGTCACTAAAATTATCACATTAATTCAAAAGTATATCAACAACAAAATCAACTTTATTTATTTCTATTGGTAACAACAATATTTTTTTATGGGTTCTGGTAGCTGGTAGGTAAAGCTTTTTTTTAATTTTGATGGTCAAATGATCAATTTTGGTTCATTAATTTATTAACTACGGTCCTCGAAAGCTGAGTAAATGTATTAATACTTTGAATTTAGATAATTGTTATAAATTTAATATAAAAGAGCTAAATATTTTTTCTCTCAACTATCTTTTGGTACACTAAAATCGGTCATATAATGAGCTCCTAAAAAAAAGTTGGGATAAATGTCTAAAAAATTGTTGTCAAACATAATTCATTATTTTAATTTTAACATACAATCATCAAAATAAGTATTATTATTGTAATTTATTATTATTATCGTAATTAATTAATTACTTAACATTTTTTTTCGTCGCAGTTAATTTTCTTACCAGCCTATATTGATATTGAATATTTATGCAAATATATAGTTTACTTCATAATAGCTTTATATGGGAATTGAATGAATATAAAAAATAATATTAATTGAGTCATGGTCTCAAGACATGGAAATTACTAATTAAAATGAGACCAATTACGACAGTATTGAGAGTTCACTTCTGCAGAATTGAAAAATGACAATTCGTCAGTAAAAACTTTTTTTTTGACCTTCAGACATACGAAATATTAATCGAACTTCATTATAATACATAGGTAATGTACAATGTATAATTTACATTTAAAAAGCAACATAAATCTTATTTATATTTTTATATATTATTTTATTAATATATAGGTAGGTCGTAGGAAGTAATTTCAAATATGTAGTTATTGTCTGTACTAGATCCAAACCAATTACGAAACATCCAGAAGAAGTCTTATTAAGAAGAAAGTTCTTTTTAATTTTTATAATTAAGTAGGATAGATATTATTAATTATTAGCAAACAATAAATTTAAATAGGTAAATGCTCCTAGGTGTTAAAATAAATATTTTCATGTATGCATTGTATACCTATTTCATTGCGAATCTTTATCACTGTTGTCTGTTTTAAATATAATATGTATTCTACAGATTGTTAAATTTAGACACTAGTAATTAATTGTCTATATTTTATAACACTCTGAATAAATCATATTCGTTTTTGGCACTTGTTCACTTATTTAATATTTTGAAGTAAATGCATACTCTTAAATATGTTACCACTAGGCAATAAATAGGTCCACATTTCGTTGAATATTCTACCTATGTTTTTATTTTTATTTGTTCGCAGACTTTATTGACAATAACCATTATTGTGTATAATAGTCTATGGGAAATATGTTCAGTCCTCCGTATAACGGAAAACGTCCTAATAAATAATAGGTAGTTATTAAGATAAGATAGATAGTTATGTAACAATTTTAGACATCGCCATACCAGTTCATTCCATAAGAAATACATGGGTCGAAAAACATGTTTGAAAAAAATTGGTTTTGTGCATTTGTATTTTTTTTCTTAAAGTTCTAACTATTAAAAACAATAAAATATGTTCTTTACAAGTTTATACATATAAACCGACCAAAAATATGAAGCTAAACGTTTTTTCGTCAATATAATCAAAGTGTAGTATTTTATATTTCCATGGCACACCCATTATACCATATACTCTATGGATTATACAGTTTACACAAATCAGTTAAGTATTGTTAATATTTTTTACTATTGCAATTTTTACATAGAAGTATATACTATTTTCCCTCCATTTTACATAATAAGTATGTTTTATTACTATACTTATATATATAATAATTTGTTGTTTTTTTCTTTTTGAGCCATTTGCTTGCCCTAAGCTTTGTTTCGGCGGTCTTCAGTGAACAAATAAAGTGTCAGATTTCCTTTTTGAAGTGAGTATAATATATATTATCCTTCATTAGTCAATTTACTAATGTAGGAAAATGATTTTTTTCCAGTTAAAAAAATATGACGTCAAACAGCATCATCAAGCTTTCGTGCATCATTAATTTCATTGATGATAAAAAAATATTTTCTAAAGGTGAAAATTCTTTTGAATGTGGCTGTGTCAAAAGTTTTAATTACATACCTGATGTGGGTATACTTAGTGGTCAAGTGCATGCAAGTATGAAAAATAAATTGTATGATGTTAAGGTAAATAACTTTGTAATTTTGATTGTATCATTTATAATATGATTCCTAAAATAATTTTAATATTTAATCTTAACAGATATTTTTCAAAGATAAAAATATTGAACATGCCAGCTGTACATGTCCGACAGGTTTGACAAAATGCCATCATATGTTTTCACTTCTTTTACATGGGCATAATAATATATCTGTAACTGATTTATCATGCAGCTGGTCAAAAAAATCTGTAAGAGAAAATGATGAAGTATTGACTATTGACGATATATATGAAAATAATTTTAAAGCTGTTACTGATACACACAATATTGATTTTAAAGCTTTATGTTTTGATAAATTAACAGCAACTAATCAAACAGTTGGATTTTCATGGTTGTTAAGTCCAGAACCTCCAGTTGAAGATTAAAGTGATATTCTTCTATTGGAAAATGTTCTTAATTCTTCAGAATTTAGAAATTCTAAAAATAGTGTTCAAATGTTGTCTGACATTTGTAAGTTATCTTTTGAACAGGTTAAAGATATAGCTTCAAAGACCATAGGGCAATCTGCAAATGTAAGATGGTGTCTTTCTAGGAAATTTCATCTTACTGCGTGTAATTTTCATAAAATAATAAAGTCGGTCAAAAGTAATCGATATCCTAATTCACTTTTTAAAGGTCTCTTAGGAAAATATTTTGTGAATGGAGTTAGATCGATTGAATGGAGGAAAACACATGAAAGTATTGCAATTGAAGAGTTTGAGAAGGCTAACAATTCTATTGTGACTAAAACTGGCATTTGGTTAGGTACATGAATCTGGATTTTTGGGAGCCAGTCCAGATGGTTTGCTTTTCGATTAAAACTCTTCTTATTGCATTGAAGTTAAGTGTCCTTATAAATTTCGGAATGAAGACTTAAAAATTGCACTTTCAAATTCAAAAGATTACATCATTAACTTTAATATAAATAAAAATGATTTCGTTTTAAATTCCAACCATGAATATTATGACCAAATATAAGGTCAAATGCACATGACAAAAATGTCATCTGCAATTCTTATTGTATGGACCATGGCTTAAATATACAAGGTTATTGCACATAGCCAAATTGTTATCAAATAAAAATAAAATGGCAGCGTAAGGGTACGGTCCATATCAAAGCATATAATATCATAATATAGCCAGTATACGTCGTCCCCTCACGCTGCCATTTTAATTCCTTAAAGTGATAAAATGATATAGTGGGGGTACTATTGCAATAACCTTGTATATTTAAGCCATGGTATTGACTACTAAATCTTTAGTTGCTTTCAGAATGTATAAAGATCCAAATTGGTCATCAAATATTGATATTTTATTAAATTTTTACCTTCATAAATTCATACCTTATATTTTAACAGACAATTAATTTTTATACATAACAATATTTATATCCTTCTATATATTACATTTTATATTCTTGGAATTAAGGCTATTTGCCTTATAGTCTAGGAATTTCTTATAAAAATAATTTAAAAAAATATATACTTGTGTTAATTTCATAATATAATAATAACAAATGGATTAATAAAACTTACATTTTCATTATACAATTTATATCCTTTATCTAATATATATAATAAATAATTACATTATATAATAAACAAAATTTTATTTGTATACATAGTAAATAATTATCATTATATTATAATTTTTTTAACAAATTAAAACTGAATATTGGAATTTATATTTTATGTGTTGTCATTATTTACAAACAGATGCTCAACTTCTTTTATTATTGGATTTTGGAAATTTACTAATACAGCACATAATTGAAATACTAATGATGACTTTGTATAAAGCACTTTTGATATGTGTATAAAATTTTTAATTTCTTCAGCCTAACCATCACCCTTTCAACATGAATGCTGGCTCTAGCTATGCTCTTTGTTTTCAGAACTTCACTTGGAGTGAATTGCGGAGACATAAGAAAAGGGGGAATGTTTAAGGAAGTTTCTGGAGGCATTAAGTCTGAAATTAGGAAGCCTTTATCAGCTAACACTAAATCACCTGATTGTAATATATTTAATACTCCACAGTGGCTTAAAATTTTTTTATCAGAAGTGAGTTACAATTTACTAGCATAAGTAATAACACCATTAGGAGCCACTCCAATAAGCCCTTTCAATGTATTTTTATTCTTATAAGAACTATATGTGAGCTTTTGATCTAAAAGGGATTTAGGAATATCGCATGAAATTTCAGTACAATCTAATGTTATTCTACAATTTTGAAAATTATTGAAACATTCTGGCAAGCAATTTTGGTTCTTATTCTGTGAAATTACTTATATTACTGTGAAGGTACTGTATTCATTAAGTTAATAAATAAAATTTCATGAAGAACACTTATTAATGTTAATATAATATTACCTACTGTAGATTCACTAGTCTTAATATTTTTTTGTGTAGAATTTTTATACATTATACTGACATCGTAATAATATTAAAAATAAAAGTATGTAGAAATAATATGTAGGTCAACAAATATTTCATTATAATTATCTATGTGGTTTTATTTTAAAAAACATATATGTTTTTAACAAATATATTTTTTTTACTGCTTTATTCTCGGATATCTACTGCATCAGTGGCGTATACAAGGGGGGTGTTTGGT